AAAACAAAACGGGACAGTGAAGAACTCCAAAAGATATCTCCAAATTGGAGAAATGAGCAGCTAAATGAAGAAAATTGTTTATTGTTAAGTATAAAATGATGCATATCAAGAAACATGCTAGTTTTATAATCACTGATAAGATCTGAGCTGGCAGTGAATTATCAAGAAAGTATCTCAAAGCTGTGGTTGGTAGCTGGGGTTCAAATGTCCCATTGATATTATAAATTAATGGGAGATCCAGGAAAAACAAAAGGAAGCAAAAAGTTAATGTTAAAATCAAGATGATGGCCATCAATTTACATGGCTTTAAAGGGAGATTATGGAAAGAATGCTGTCAGTGATAACTACCTCCAAGATTAGAGAATCAGAACAACTTAATTTTCTTTTGATTATATGTAGCATTAGAACATATCCTTTTTTACAACAAAGGTATGCACTTTTAGTTACTAGAAAAGCTTTTACTTGCTGTGGAATGTATTGCCTGTTGTATTTAAATTCTAAGTATGCATGAGAATCAGAATTGAAGAAATATCCAATCTTGTTTGATTCAAGGGTCAAATAATGCTAAAATTAAGCAATGTGGCATATTTACATCATGGTGCAGGGTGCAATTGATTATGTCCATATTTTTATGAATTTTTCTTGAAAAATAAAATATTTATGTTTATGTATAATGAATAAGTTGTCCTTGTTCCAGATTAGTGCTGTTCACAATCTGCTTTCTGTCTCAGTATTCTTAACTTCAACTTGATAACGATGACTATACTGGAAAAATAATTGCATACCTTGAAGTGTTGTTTACATTTACGTTTCTGAGGAATAAATATACATAACGTTCACATAACTGCTGAACTCTTTTATTTGACATCCCCGTAATTATGTTTGTCATTCCATTATGCTATTGCTTGGGCATCATATCAGAACTATATATTAACCAAATTATATACTTCATTGGTCATTTGGCTTGTGTCTGCTACAGTGCATGAGTATTCTTCCATAGCTTTCTTTGATTTTACCCAAAGCAGAGAAAGAAATGTGTGACTGTGTCACAGTTGATCTGACCAGCCCTTCTTGTTAGTTCTAATGCTGCACACCCTCCTCTGCCTGCATCTTCCAAAATCTTGTATTGTATAATAGATGGCTTGTTCAAATATTGCTTCCAGCAAAAGATCTGACATAACCAAACTGATTAACATTACACAGTGGTGTACAAACCTCTCTTGAAACACTTCCAGCGTTGCCAAAATTGCCAGTTTCAAATATGACCCAACTGCTTCATGTTTGAAAGAGGATGTTTCAAATTCGAAATGATTTGAATACTTTGCATATCCTTATTACAAACTCAGGGTGCTGTTAGGATAGGGTATTCCACAGTTTATGCTTAGTATGTGCAATTTAAAATTTTTTTTGCTATTTTGGTACAGATTTCATGGCTTACTGTGTACCAACCAGTCATAACTTGTAGTGAGGGTATCATCAAAAACTACAGAAGCAATTTCCTCTTTGCAGCAGCTTCAATAGATTTATTTGTTTTGGTTTATCTTGCAGAGATGAAACTAACTTGCTTCTAACAGTTGAGTGACCTAACACAATGGTCAGAAGTTTAACTCTTCACAGGCTATCTGACATCACTGGTCCATTTTAACACTTCTCTAAAAAAAAAAAAGGATTTAGTCTAGCTCCTAAATGCAATCTTAGCAGTCATAGATCCCCTAAGGAAGACATTTATAGTGCACGAATATGCAGAAGTCAGTCCTATTAAGTTCAGTAGGTTTTACTCTCAGATACAATTGCATTCCAAATTTGAGACACCTGTGGTCAAATTGCATATTTCAGTTAATCCCTAAGTGGGGGGGAAATTTCCCAAAGCAAGAATAAATTCTCCATAGGTATTATTTCTGCTACAGAAGGTGTTACAAATTACTACATGAAAGGATATCCAACTTCTGCATCTGCCATGTTAATTTTTTTTTTTTTTAAATTGAATCTGTAAACAACTGCATATAAATAGAAAGTGTACTTTCAAATTTGCAGAAAGATGTTTAACTTCCATCAATCAATTTTATTTCGGTCATAGACCAGCATATAACCAATGACATAGCTCTTATGCTACAGTAAGTATAGAAACAAAAATCATGTTAATAGCATAAAATAGGATGAAGATAGAATTATTGAGGTAAAATTGCAGTGTGAAGATATTATAAACAAATATCCTTTGTAGTTACAGTTAATTTCACAACAAATAATCTAAATACTGTACTTGACTAAAACAAGTGACTATAAAATGGTATAAGTAATACTAAAATGTATAAAAGACTACAGGAGTAATACATTTTTATATTAACTTGTCATATCAGATCAATTATTATTTGGTCACAGGGCAGGAAGTTAGACATAAGATTCACACCTGATTAGGGATGTTACAGTGTATTGTACAGATTGTAAAACAGAATTTAGCTGAGGACAATGAAATTAGATCAGATTAGTCTGATAGGAGAAAATTGAGATAGAAGGAGTCTGAACGACCTGGTGTTTATCAAAAAACTGAGATAATAGTTCCTGGCGAGCATCTGCATAGAGAGGGCAATATAAAATGATGTGTTCTGTCATTTCAATTATTCCTCTGCCACATGGGCATAGTCTTTGATTGAGGGGAATATTTCGATATCTGCCTTCAGTGATAGCTGTTGGAAGGCATTGAATTTGGCCAGGGATAAAGCCCTTCTAAATTTTGGAATCATTATGCAGCTAAGGTATCTAGCTGGTTGGAGAAGGTGTGCAGAATGACCCAAGAAAATATTCTTAGGTAGAAGTGATAGATCTGATTATAGCTCTAGATCAATGACCCGTTATTTAAGGTTCTCTAGACACATTCATAGCTCAGCAGGATAATGGCTGCCCCTGAAAAGCCATATAGTTGCAGTTTAGCATGTACAGTGGTACCTCAGTTCACGAACTTAATTCGTTCCGCGACTCTGGTCACGACCCGAATTGGTCACGACCCGAATT